AAGTAGGTGCTTTAGACCACTGAGCCATCTCTCCAGCCCCTGTCCTTTTTCTGTATGGGCTTCTGCTGTCTAACCAGCATGGTGGAGTAACTTGGATACTCTGATTACCTAATATGGCCAGAATCACCCGGGGTACGTGTCATCAGAGATTGCAATTTTGTGTAGTACCTTTTCTTAACCTCTTCTTTGAATGTCAGCCATTCCTGCAGTAGCACAACTCCCTAGTCTGAATGATGCAGGGGAATGGTGGATGAGAGCAAAAACTAGAGTGTGGTTGCTGCCCCTTTTTGGCACTAGGACCTCTTCCATATCCTTCTCAAATCAGTCTGTAGTGATCTGTATCACTCAAAAAAACACACACAAAATTCATCTATCTTATATTGGCCACATGAAAACAATATGATAAATCCCAGGCTTTACCTGGTAAGCGTAATACTTTTATTATATACAAAATCTATGTCTGCAACAGATTTTATAAAGAGAAAGTCACCATTTCTTGCCATCAGGAAGCTTTAGGCCAGTAGTAGCTAAAAGAGTTTATAAAACTTAAACACAAAAATGAACAGTAACTACTTTAAGCAAACACCCTATGTGGAATATAGGAGGAGGGGCATCTTCTCAGGATGGTCTATGAAAAAGTTCCTGATAGATGATATTTAAGCTCATATCAGAAGATGACAAAAACTTGCACACAAAGCAAATGTAGAACTTGTAAAATTCACCAGCGATCCTGGAGCTATTGGAAGCTGGAAGACAGCAGGCATCATGTGTCATAGTGGGTGAAGGAAGAATGGGTCACAGGGGTGCTGTTGAGCACAGTGAAGCTCTAATCATAGAGGGCCTTCCAGGAGTCAGCCAAGAGCTGAATTTGAACCCACTGAAAGTTATGGACTTGCAATGATTCATCTGTTTCTTTCAATTTTTCCCAAATATATCTATTTATCTCCTTTAACACTGATTCTATCATCTTACCTTCACTTTTTATAATGTTCCATAATGCATGTAAGAATTTGAAAATTAGAGTTGGCCTGATAGCTTAGCAGACTAAAGCGCCTGCTTAGGTAGAGCACAGCAGTCGGGGTTGGATCCCTGGTATAAGGGACCAGCCCCACCTGTGGAGTGCCCTGAGATGTGATTGAGACTGGGCGTGGTGGCACATGCCTATAATCCCAGCACTTGGGAGGCTGAAAACAGGAGGATCACTACAAGTCTGATCTACACAGTGAGACCCTGCAGATGCTGTCCTAAATACAGAAAAAAAAATTGAAAATTTCGTATTTTAAAAAACTTTGTGTCATGTTCCCTTTTAATTTAGTATTCCATAATGAAGGAAGGAAATTATTTTCTATATGAAGAAAATATTTTGTATATTAAGTAAAATCTTAATAAATATTTATAGAATGAAATGAACAAATTCATAATTTTAGATAAGAAAATTATTTATATCTGATTTGTGCTTCAACTTAATGACCCCAAATTAACATATGGGCTTGATAAACGAAGCAGGAAGTGTCTGGTCTGGCCCAGTGTGCTTCTCCCTGTGCGTCTCCCTGAGGATGCATTCGTAGAATCACCTCTTTCCTACTGGTTTTCTGCGAGAGGGCAGCCAAGTTCCTGTAAGTGCGTCCTGTGCTGTACCTGTTTGATACCTGTGTGTGTTTCTATACATGGGAAGACACATAAGGAAGACTCTTTTGGAAGCAAACAAGAGGGGCTGGGGAAATGGCTCAGTAGAAAAAGTGCTTGCCTGGAAGCAAACAAGGCCTTTCAAGCATGTAAATAGAGAGTAAATTATATAAACAGAAACAACATTAACAGATCAAAGAGAACTGGATTAGGACTCACTGTATATATATATATATATATATATATATATATATATATATAGTCTGATTTTTGCTATCATAGTTATATTTCTAGTCATTCTGAACAAATATTTCATTTTCTTAATAAACCCATAAATTGAAATTCATATAACACAAACATAGACAATATATATTTTTCTCTTGATCCAGTAATATCCCAGTATTAATATACAACAAACTCAGAAGAAAAGCTCCTCTTATAAGACTTACTTTAGTATGCCTTGTGTGCATTTATTTTTAAACTCTTTTGGGTATGTACAATTTAACCTGTACAAATTTGTAACGAAATTCCATTAAAACTAAGAATACAATCTATATACATTTTCCCACAATATATAAATTTAAATTGATCAATTTTATGTAGGGTCAAATTTAAATTATATCCCTTAGTAGCTAACCATGAATCCATAATGGAAAAGAACAGCTTTGTACGACTATGTTATAGATTTAATATTTGATGCATTTTTCATTTTGTATGGCTTCTCCCACTCAGTGAAACATTTGCACGGCCTTGATCAGCCTGTCATTGTGACATGTTAGCAGTCCCCTACAGGGGCAGACTAGTGTGCAGACACAAAACAGACAGAAAATAAAGCAAAGCTAAGAGCTTCTATCATTCCATCAATACCTCCTGCATGCCCAGGCTGCGACCATCCCTCCCGTCTCTAAACACGAGCCCTTGCAAGAATTGAAACTATTAACCTGATGAAGGTGGCAGAATGGATGAGCTAGGGAATTCCCTCAGCCAGCACTTCTTGTTGTTTAAAGGTTCAGCCCAAATCCAGGGACTTAGCCTCCGCAGCCCAATATCTGGGGACAGACAACATTACAGAAATTAATCCTCCTAGAGTAAATTCTTTTCTTTAATGTGAGATTACTTCACACGATTCAATATGGGATTGCAGGTGTCACGTTTTATTCCTTCCATAGGAGGAATATAAAAGTTCACAAATTTCATCAAACTTTCCTTGTAACCTTTTCATAAATGATAGAAAATTTTGAGTGTTTAGCAATTAAACACTCTTTATTGCCATTGATTATATATGTATGCATACATATTTATGTATAAACCATGTCACAATATGCATCTTGGAAGCAG